GATGGCTCTCTTAGACCTATCGTCAGCCCTGATGGGATAAACAGACCCTGAAGGGGCTCCGAGTTGGGCGTCCTCGACCTCGATCTTTGACTGGTACCTATTGTGGATGTCGACCCAAGTTACCACCGGGTATTCTACCAAATTTTGTTTTAGCTTCTGTGAAGCTAAGGAGCTTCGGGGGTTAAGCCCCTGAATAAATGCCTGAACGGCCCAATCATCTGCGACCGAAGGCGGGTCTATCCGTTCCATCTGTAACCTCGACACGAACTCCCTAAGCATCTCGTTATTTCTTTATTTAACCTTGAAAAGATCCGACTTTCTGGTCTCGACCTTGATGGCCCCGGCATTGGCCTTCACGAAAGCATCTACAAGCATAGCAAACGAGTCAATGGAATTTGGGGGTAAGTTGTAATACCATATCATTGCTCCTTTGGACAAAGTCTCCCCAAACTTCTTCAGTAACACCGATTCGATTTCATCATCTTCCAAGTCGTTCCCTTTGATTGCGCATGTATAGGAGGTCACATGTTCATTCGGATTCGTGGTTCGTTATATTTTGGGATATCAAGCATACGAAACCTCTTTGGGATCTGCTTCGGTGCCGTGCTCGGAAGAAATGGTTTCTGGTTAAATTTCTTGGATTCCGGCCCTTTCAATATCTGGGGTGCTCCCGGGATTTTATCGACCTTGGAATTGTATGTTTTCACTTTTTTGCCATTGACCTCAATCTTCTTCTCACCTGACTCCACCCGCTTTGTTAATGCTTCAAGCATTCTCATTATTTTGGGATTGACCTTGGGCTCAGCTTCACCCGGTCTCTCGGTGATATGTTCGTTTCTTCGGATGTTTTTCCTGAATTGTTCGGGCTCAACCCTGCTGGGGGCGTGGCTTTGATTCTGTAGCTGCGCTACCGCCGCTTGTTGAGCCTGCAACATTTCGAAGATTAACCATAGGCTTACCCCATCGCCTTCGCCTTCGAGCGCTTCTCGAGCTGTTGGTCGGGGTCCCCTGCAAACGCTATTTTCAGGATCAGTTGGCAGATTGACGTCGATGGCCACCTGTGAGTTAGCATCGACCGGATCGGCAACTGGGACTCCGTTGGGATCAGCAGGAGTCACCTCGTTGCTATGCACCAGATTTATTGTTTTCGCCATGATAGCTAGACTCTGCGTCAATGTTCAAGTGGGCGGACTGAGAATTTGACATTTTTAAGCCGATCTGAATTAAGACTTTAAAGAACAAGCGTAAAATAGAGTGCGTTATGAAGATTTGTATTGAATCACCACTATAATCCTTAGCCCCACGGCTGCACCAAACTGTTTTACCGTAATATCAGATAACAATTAAATTTGTACACTGTTTTAAGGATATGTGGATTGATTCAACACAAATAATCAAGAATACTAGGTATACGAGTTAAAGATAAAATGAATGCTCAAGTCAATAGTAATATTACGGCCTAGCTCGAGTCTACATTGAACAGTAGTTTTCCCCTTGATCGGACCCTTGGTTCGAACCCAAATTGGAGGAAGAACAAACAGTTAAGTAAGAGCTTCTGCAATTGCTAGAAAGCAGAGAAATGAATTTGTATTGCCTTGATTTTCATGTTACAATGTGTTTGTCAAAAGAAAGAACCTCCCTTTTATATAGTAAGAGAGTTTTATCCCTAGTACAAGTCTAAAAAATGTAAAAATCTTCCTTTCCCATTAGTTACTAATCCATAATCGATATCGAGCGAGATCCGCACCGTGATATCCGGTCGGGTAAGAATATCACGACCCTTTATCCGTGGTGTGTAACTATTTACCGTGTTTTCCGAGGTTTTAGAACTCATTCTGGGTGCGGGAAGCGTTGCTTTATCATGCCCGGTGATGAACACATCATTCTTCTTTCTTGGGTCTCGATACGAAAGATTCACGGCCTCGATTTCGGTCTCATGCGTCTGTGACCTTCTTCCGTTTTTTTCACCGGAAAATCGGGATATGCTCCATCCCCAATTTTACCCGTATACATATTTATTTATCAGTTTTTTCCTTTTCAGTTTGGTTTCGTTGTTCTGTACATAGTTGATATGCATCTCTGCTATTCTCTTTCTTTAAGTGGATTTTTTATCATCAATAATAATTGCAGATGCATCCTAGTCTTTAAATAAAATACTGTGGACCTTTGGCATTAATTGAAAGTGGCTTCGAGATGTATCCTTTTGCCGATTCCACACATTCTACAAGTGTCAAGTAATTTTCTCAACTAACAGAGAATCAAAAGGGCTCACATTGAATGTTACTCCCTCCGTCCACTTTAATTGATTTTCTGGTTTTTTTATGGTCTGTAATATTTAATTTTTCAGATATCGAGAATGAATTAATTTCTTTTTTCTTCAAAGTTGTCATTCGAGTAAAGAGCTTAAGAGTATTTGTTATGTTATTAATGAACAAATTAAGATTAATATGATCAATTTTATTGTTAATTAATATTAAAATATAAATTTCTTAAAATGCAAGAAAACAATCAAAAAATCAATTAAAATAGATTGGAGTGACTATTTGCCATTATTCAGGCCTGGATCTCTAAGTTCTTACTTCTATAGTTCTAAAATTAACCATTCAGACTCTATTCGACTAGTATTATAATTACACAGACGTCATATCATGTCCGCTAGCGACTAGAGTGGCTTAATGTCAATGTCCTATCTTTCATATTTTGGTTGCTTTACTATGCGTAAATTTGCATATTCATTTCTTTGGGTGGAATCTATCTCACACTCCATTTTAACATTAGCATATTAACAAGATCGATATCATATCTTCGTTATTCAAAATTAAAATGAAAGGTGTATTTACTATGACAATTATCAATTAATTGTACAGGGAACTCAAATGACGAAGTCTTTCGCTCGCTTAATTGTGTCATTTTCAATTCAAATGTTTCAACGAAAACCGGAAGTGATCAAACTGGCCATTTCATTTTATATGGCAGTATTTTTTTGGATATGGAGTTTAAGAAAAAAAAAAAATTTCTTCGCACATACCAAAAAATTGTTGAAATTTGTGATTTTAAATATTCCATGACACTTCTAGGTTGAAAAGGCATGTAATTAAGAGTGTGATGTAAAGTCTAAAATCTACAAGCTTTTAAATATATAAAAATATCCGTCTTTAAAGAATATATTAAAAGGTCAAAATGTCATATAAAATGAAAATAGGAAAGTACTACTTATACTTCCTCTACTCTATTTTATATAGAATTTTTTTCTTTTTAGCTTGTTTAAAAAAGAATTACACCTTTTTATATTTGAAAATATTCTTAACTAATTAAGCTTCTCGCTTTACTCCTATTTACATACTCTTACGACTAGTCATGTTATGTTTAAAATTACATCAACTCTTTTTTTTTTTTTTAATTTAATTTTGTGTCAAATCAAACAGTGGTACACAAAATGAAACGATGGAGTTATTCAAGGGAAATGCCGTTGGAGGATATTTCAACAGGACCTACCAATAAACTGGTAAGGACCATAGCAACACAAGATGACTAGTTATTAGCTAGGATGACAGCGAAGTTGTTTTCATCCCCTCGGGCAACATACGTATCACATGATTATATTAATAAAATAAATTATAAATCACGAGAGCATAACTCACTCACCATGGTTTCAGTGCACTATTTCAAAGCCCAAAAACACCAATGAAACTTTAAATAAAATATTACACCCAATAACCTTAAAAAATGGGTAGTCAAGAATTTTTTACCTTCGCTTATCTAATGGGCAAACTTTTAAGTTTAAAAGTTGAAAGTGTTGCCGGTGGAGCAAACGTGGAATAATACTTGTTAAACTTGAAGTTCTGCGCATAGAGCAAACGAAAGTCAAAAAATCAAGATCATCCCATCACCCAACTATAAATGATACTAACATATGCTCCTTGCACATGCAAGAGAACACTTAAGCCGCTTTTCAATTTGAGTTCCTTGCAATTTTTTAGAGTAGACAAAAGAAAATCAAAGCGTATTCATTTTTCTGAAGGAGAACACAAATTTTCCCAGAGAGTAAGTTAATTTTGCTACTGCTAGTTGTTTATATTTTTTTATCCGCAGACCGCAGCACCTTGCTTCTATAATTACTTGAAAACGCTATACTAATTATGTTTATAAACTACACAACCAGAAAAGATTTAAGAGAACTCTGTGGAGGAAACTACCAGCGAATCTCCTCCATTTCGCTAGCAATATGGCTATATGAGGGCCATAATGGTGAGTGGTGACCTCCCAACTGCCCGTTTAAAGGCCTCAACTAGTATCTAGAGGTGTATATATAGGTCACCTTGACTCGATTTTTTTCTAAAATAAAACCAGATCAACTATGTCAATTTGTTAAAGTTATAAATTAAATCAGACTAACATAAATCGACGTCTAATTTTGGTTTCAATTTTTTTCGGTACCTTAGTTTTTTTTCAATATTATTGTGCATGAGAGATGCTAAAAGGTGATCATTCAAAGCCAATAACATACAAGTAAATTTTATGGTGATGTGATGTCCTAGAAAAATTTGTAACACTGTTAAATTTTAATTGTTGTGTCCTGCTAGGTCAAAGTGAAGAATTAAGAGAAAGAGAGATGAAGGACATGACATGCAGAGATAAAATGAGAAGAGAGGAGGAAGACTCTGTTGTGGAACTGTTTCATTGAAGCTCAAAAAAGAAAATGAAGTACACGTGACTAATATATACACCATCTATGCTTAGCTGTCACCAACTAACTAACCTATCCACTAACTACTTACTTAACTGACTAAACAACTTATAAATAATACAAAGTACATCTCTTGCTTTAAGTTTTGTTACTCTCAACACTCCCCCTCAAGCTAGGTACACAATAAGCATCCCTAGCTTGGAACACAGATATCGTGTTGAACTCTGCTTAGTCCTTTGGTTAGCAAATCTGTTGGTTGCTCTTTGGTGGGAATATACTCAGTTCTTATCAGCTCTTTTTGTATTTTTTTCTCTTACAAAGTGCAGTCAATCTCTATATGCTTGGTTCTCTGATGGAACACTGGATTGGCTGCTATTTGCATTGCTGCTTTGCTGTCAATATGAACCTCAACTGAAAGTTCCACCTCTATTCCAACTTCTTTGAATAGCGCCAAAATCCATGTTAACTCTGCATTTGTAGAGGCTAGGCTACTATATTCTGACTCACCTGAGCTTCTAGATATGGTGCTTTGTTTATTAGATTTCCAAGATATTAGTGAATCACTAAACTTGACAAGAATCCCTGTTATAGATTTGCGAGAATGTGGATAGGCTGCCCAATCAGCATTAGAGTAGGCTCTGATCCTTTTGTCTGCTTTACTTGAAAGAAGTACTCCTTGTCCAGGATGATTCTTTACATACTTGACCACTCTTACGGCAGCTTCAAGATGTGATTTCTTTGGTTGATGCAGAAATTGACTTCAGGTTTTCACACTGAATGCAACGTCTGATCTTGTTATGGTTAAGTAGAGTAGCTTGCCTATAAGCCTCTGATAAGAGCTTGCATCAAATAGTAACTCATCCTCTCCCTGGCTTGGACCAGCCAGGTGATCATCAAACTCTTTGTAGTGAGCCTTGCCTTTGTTTCAAGTGGTGTAGTTGTTGGCTTTGCTGCTCCCAGTCCTAGCTCAGAGATAAGTTCTAGAGTGTACTTTCTCTGGTGCATTAAAATTCCCTGCTTGGATATCATCAACATAGACTAGGATGAGTTCAAGGTCATCTCCTGATCCTTCTATGAACAGAGAATGGTCATGTTGACTCTGAGTGAAACCAAACTGTAACACAACCTCTGAAAGCTTTGCATTTCATTGTCTAGAGTCCTGCTTGAGACCATATAGGGATTTGAGGAGTCTACATACCTGCTGCTCCCCTGACCCACAAAGCTCTGAGGCAGGTCTATGTAGATCTCATCATGAAGATAACATTGGAGAAAAGCATTTTACATATCCATTTGATGAATGTGCCCGTGTTGCACAACAGCAATGGAAAGAATTGTTCTGACTGTAACCATCTTGACAACAGGAGAGAAAGTCTCCTGATAGTCAATGCCTTCTCTCTGGTTATAGCCTTTGGCAACTAGCCTGGCGTTGAACCTGCCAATTTCACCAGATGCTTTATACTTTATACCCATTTACATCCAATGAGTTTCTTGACAGGAGGTAAGGTCACAACATCCCAAGTATGATTATCCTCTAATGCAGAAATCTCATATTTCATAGCAGCTACCCATCTGTGGTCCTTGATTGCTTCAGCATAAGAAACTGGCTCAACCTCAGAAGAGGAAGAGGCAATGAAAGCCTGATAAAGAGGAGACAAGTGATCATAGCACATATAGGTCGTTAGGCCATAAGGAGTGTGTTGATTGGCATGAAGAGAAACAAAGTTCTTCATCCATAATGGTGGATGCTTGTCTCTGGCTGATCTCCTAAGGGCAGGAGAACCAACTTGAGAGACATCAACACTTGGTGGTGCAGCAGTTGGTAATGAGCTTGCACTTGATTCAGTGCTGCTAGGAGAGGAAGAGGCTGCATATGGTAAGACTGAAGAGTCATGTGCAGTAGAGTTCTGGTTGGATCCTGCTGAAGCATCTTGAGCATACCATTGCTCAGTAATATGTGGTAAGGCAGAAGAAGATGTATCAGGGAACACAGACTATTTGTGAGAGGAGAACTGCTGAAATAGAAAGATATCCTCCCTGAATGTTACATCTCTATTAACAAAAAAGGAGTTAGTTGACAAGTTAAAAAGAATGTATCCCTTATGTGAAGAAGAGTAGCCCATGTGAACAACAATGATAGCTTTTGGTTGAAGTTTATCAGTCTCATTGACAATCTTGGCATAGCACAGGCAACCTAGGACCCTGAGATGTCCAATCAAAGGCTTGTTCCTGTATAATAACTCATAATAACTCATAAGGAGACTTATGACCTAGCTGTGAGGACGGAATCCTGTTGTTGAGATAAACAATTGTCAACACACAGTGTCCCCAAAACTTTAAAGGAATGCAACCTTAAAACCTTAGAGCTATGTATACTTCTAAAATATGCCTATGTTTTCTCTTATCAACTCCATTTTGCCAAGGAGTATAAACACTGGTTCTTTGATGGATAATGCCAATGTTGTCGAACAAAGTATGACAGACAGAATTAACAAATTTAGATCCATTATCAGTCCTAACACACTTAACCTGTTTGTCAAACTGAGTTTTCACATACATCAAGAAATCATGTACGACAACACATACATCCGATTTGAGTTTTAAGAGAAAAATTCAAGTCATTCTAGAGTAGTCATCCACTACAGTTAAGAAGTATCTATTACCATCAATAGTTGCAGTGTTATAGGGTCCCCATACATCCAAACATAGTAAGTCAAAAGAAGATGCACTTTTATTTGTACTACTAGGAAAAGGTAGTCTAGTCAGTCGAGCACAAGGACAAACAGAACAGTCTTTTACAACAGAAACATAGCTCTCCCGCTTTATTAAAAATAGTTTGTTTAGAACTGAGGAAGACACATGACCAAGTCTTTTGTGCCATAGCTTGAGATCCACATTTTTAGGTGTTCTCTTAGTGAACATATCCTTATTCTGTGTGGCTGCTAGTGACGTTTCTGCAGTATGCTTATTGACAGTTAAAGAGCTCCAAGAGGGTAATATGTAGAGACCTTTATCTTCTCTACCAGTCGCCTTCACCCTCCCACTGAAGAGTTCCTGAAACACTGCAGCTCTTTAATTACCTTTGATACAGACATCAAGTTAAACTTGAATTGTGGTATATGAAGCACATTTTTTATAACACTCTTGTCTGAGATAACACTAGTACCAACATGCTTAACATATGAAACATCACCATTAGGTTAGAATACCTTCTTAGAGTAAGGAGGATAAACCATATTAAATGAGGTTAACAGGCTAAGATCAGAGACCATATGATCAGTTGCACATGTGTCAATAATCTACTCTTCAATAGTATCAGTAGCTAAGAATGCAGTACTTATACCTTCAGCATTAGCAGTATATGAAGAACAGGATGCCTTGTTGAGAAACTGAAGTATTTGATCATACTGGTTCCTAGTAAGAGTTAATGGAGCCAGTGGAAGTTCCTGATTCATTGATGCAGATGAAGCTGCAGCATTACCTGCACTATTGCCATCTGTAGTGTGCATGTGAGATGATTCTAGAATGCAGCCTGTAGTCACACACATTTGAGGTGTGGAATTCTTTACAACATTGTTAGTCTCAGAAAACACATTGTAAGCATTACTGGCAGTGGTAGGTGCTCCCCCTTTCTTCTTGTATTTTTAGTCAGGTGGATATCCAATGATCTTATAGCAATTCTCTTTGCTATGTCCCTTAAGCTTGTAAAACTCACACTGTATGTTATAATCTTTTCTAAATTTCTGACCTCCAGTTGGTTTAGAACTATGAAATGCTGTAGATTCATAGTGACTAGCATGTATATTAGGTAGAGGACCTAGAATACCAGATGTGGCTGTTACAGCTCTTTGACTTTCATCACTAACTAGCATAGCATAAGCTTGATTGACAGAGGGTACTTGCTTCATCATAAGTATTTGGCTGCGTGCTTGTGAATAGGAATCATTCAAGCCCATGAAAAATTGATAAAGTTTCTGTTTGTGCAAATGCACAATGAAATCACTAGACTTAACACAATCACAACCAGGACTAGGCTCTAGTGCCTCAGCTTCATCCCAAAGATCTTTAAGCTTGGAATAGTAAACAGACGCAGAGAAGGTACCTTGACTGAGTGTAGCAATTTCTCTATGCAAATTATAACATCGAGTGTCATTTACCTTATCAAATCGCTCTTGTAGATCCATCCATACTGCATGTGCATTGGTGGCATAGGCGATTCCATTAATTAGGTTGGGAGTAACTACATTCATTAACCATGAAAGCACAATTGCATTGCACCTTTCCCACTGATACCAATACTTTTCACATAATCGTTCCTTTTTCCATCTACCATCCATAATTCTGAGCTTGTCCGACCGAGCAAAGCAATTCTCATACAACGATACCACAGCGAGAAGTTGTCCATACTGGTGAGTTGAAAAGAGATGAGAGAAATCCCACTGGTATCTGCAGGAGCGAGATATAGAGGTTGAGTAGCAGCGACTGTAACTCAATCTTCAAATTCATCATCAAATGAGATTTGAGAATTATCGGTTGTAGTAGCTGTATCTCCTAACTCCAATTCATCTACTGCCATTGTTGAGCAGATTAGAGTTTCGATGAAAAAATTGAACAAAAAAATGAATTTGAGAAGAAAATTCAGAGAATGCGAAGCAGATGTTAGATCGAATCGATTATGAGCTACAATCTATATCTTTTTGCTCTAATACCATGAAGAATTAAGATAAAGAGAGATGAAGAAGATAAAATGCAGAGATAGAATGAGAAGAGAGGAGGAAGACTCTGTTGTGGAACTGTTTTATTGAAGCTCAAAAAAAGAAAATGAAGTACACGTGACTAATATATACTCCATTTATGCTTAGCTGTCACCAACTAACTAACCTCTCCACTATGTACTTACTTAACTGACTAACTAACTTATAAATAATACAAATTACAACTCTTGCTTTATGTTTTGTTACTAAAGTGCCGCTAAATGTTTGAAGCGCCTAAGCAAATAAGGAAAGCTAACGTGTCCGTTGTTTCACAACAATAAAAAGTTGAAAGCTTTTGCAATTATAATTTTGCAAAAATAAGCAGAACTTTAGCTGACCCATCCAATAAATTACAGGCTACATTTTGTGCATTGGCAACTAACATATCTAAGAAAATCGGAATATGATTTTAAGAGATAAAAAAGAAGTTATAATATAACAAAGTTACAAACCATCATCACTTTCATCTTCCTGCTAGCTTGTTGCTAACATAGTAACAGGTTTGTTGGCTTTTTCCAACATATAAGCCAAAACTTGTAACAATGTGTCAAAAAATAAAAAACTATGCAGTATTTTGAAAAGTATTTACAAATTAGATTATAATGAATATTTTTGTGTGTAAAAACTTTGAAACCAGTATATACGTGATGTTAATTTGGTTCAGCTTAGTTTGGCTTTTGTTTTGTTAATGTCAAACCAAATCAAATAAAGTCGGTTTGACTCGATTTATTCATCAAATTTAGTTTGCTGGTTTGGTTTAAGCACGCATAGCCTAAACACTCTGTATTTTCTTTTTTCTTGTTATAGGTTATCATTATTAGTATTACTACAAACATTCAGGAACAAGAAAAGAGAAAGTGGAAGACGGACCATGAAAATTCTCACAACTATTACAAGTGGTAAACTCTCATATGTATGGACTGCTATTTTCAGCTTCTTGTTTGTTTTTCTTCCCTTACAAGTTGGAACTTTTTGCAAATTTTCATGCGTGCAGCCCAAGAGTTAGGAGGGACATGCTGATATTGAATCTTAAAAAAAGATCTTTGTGAGTGGAATTTTTCTTAAGCATCTCTTTATTATTCACTTCAATTATAAAAATGATTTAAAAGTTGTTTGAGAATATACATGACCCAAAATTGATTGTGTAAGGACTTCCAAATGAATTATAATTGTTCTTGACTACTCTACTTTTGTCTTAAAAAACTTTGTAGTTAATACTAAAGGATCCTCCATGTTAATTGGCTATTTCCAACAAAAAGGTGCACTATCGGGAGAAAGTTGAAATAAGAAANCTCATTGTTGTCATCTTCACCACTGGTGAAAAAGTTTCTATGTAATCAATTCCTGCCTGCTGAGTGTAACCTTTGATAACCAATCTAGCTTTAAACCTTTCAATGCTGCCATCAGCCTTATGCTTCACCTTGTAGATGCATTTGCAACCTATTGCCTGCTTCCCAGGTGGCAATGGAACTAGGTCCCATGTCTGATTGGAATGTAATGCTTCAAACTCTTGTGTCATTGCAACTTGCCATGCAAGGACAATAGCTGCCTCCTCAGATGATGATGGTTCCCTGTCATGACAAACATTTCTCACAAGAACCTGACTATTAGGAGTTAGTAGATCAGAGGCAATGTGGTGATTCATAGAAACCAAAGCATTAAGGGAAACACAATTTTGTTTAAGGTTGGGAAGAGAATGTACATAATCTTGTAAATAACCAGGTGGCTATATGTTCTTTAAGATTGTCTCAATCGTAAAGGTTCTGCAGAGGATTGTTCGGTATAATATTGTGGTGAATAAGGCAATGGAGACATAGGTACTGTAGAAGGTGATGGGGAAACAACAGGTGCAGGTGACATAGAGTTGTTTGTGATATCGGAAGTCCTTTGATCAATCAGGACATCAAACAAGTGTTGTGCAATGTTTGTGTCACTAGAAGATTGTTCATGTGAGGACTCAATGAAGGGTACTAAATGAGGAACATAAGGTTGAGAAGATGCATTCATGCTACCTTCAAAGGGAAAAATGAACTCATTAAAGACTACATCTCCGGAAATGTGGATCTTCTTAGTAGCTAGATATAACGACTCAGCCGGTCGTTTTGAGTATCACATCCCTGCTCCCCCCATTTACTGCTTATTTTATGCTCAATTGTGATTATGTGACTTGTCGTAGATGTTTTAGAATGAATTGAGACACTTAGTTTCAAGATTAAAAGCTTAAGTTAAAATAATTGACCGGATGATGACTTATGAGTAAACGACTTCGGAATAGAATTTCAATGGTTCCAAAAGCTTTGTATGGTAATTTTGGACTTGGGAGTGTGTCCGGGTAATTATTTGGAAGTCCGTAGTCGAATTTGGCTTGAAACGGCAAAAGTTGGGAAATTAGAAGTTTTGGAAATTTAAAAGTTTAACCAAGAGTTGACTTTGTGGTTATCGAACTCGTATTTTAGTTTCAGAAATTTTAATAGGTTCGTTATTTCATTTATGAATTTTGGGCAAAATTTAAGGTCAATCGAAATTGATTTGATAGGTTTCGACATCGATCATAGAAGTTGAATTCATTAGTTTTCATTAGGCTTGAATTGGGGTGCAATTCGTGTTTTTAGTATTTTTAATGTAATTTGAGGCATCGACTAAGTTTGTATTATGTTTTAGGACTTGTTGGTATGTTTGGTTGAGGTCGTGGGAGCCTCAGGTGGAGTTCAGATGGTTAACAGATCATGTTTGGAATTGAAGGACTGCTGTAGTACACCAGGTCTGGTGCGATCGCACCTGCGGTGTTTTGATCGCAGGTGCGAGTTCGCAGAAGCGAACCAGGTAGCACAGAAGTGGCCTGGGAAGGGGGTGTGTAGTGGTCTCAGGTGCGAGCGAATTTCCGCATGTTACATCTTGCGTTTCTCATACGATAAAGTTTCGTCTTCAGTTAATTGACAGAGACTCGGGGATGAGATTATCTTGAGGTTAGCATATTTATGCTATTTATCCCAAGCGATAAATAAGTGCCATGGAGGATAAATGGTAAGCGAGTTTCGTTGAAGGTTGTCGATTTGGGGTAAAATACGGTCCGAGCTATAATATCAGATATTTATGGACTAGTACCATACAAGGTACCTTATGAACATGATATTATGATGTATAAAGTATATTAAAAATGAGTAGAATTTTAAGTAATTTAAGGCAATTCTTAATTATGTGGGTAATTGGTTAATTGCCGGGTAACGGGACAAGACCTAATAAGTGGATAAAGATTTAAATGAACCCCACCCCCACGTGGCAGCAGGCCACTCCTTAAGCAAATGACTCCTAGTCATTTCTTATTAGGTGGCAACTTAATTCATTAAATACAAGACACCTTAACTCTAAGACTTATCATACAAACCATATAGACAGTCAGTAGCATTAGAGATTAGTAGGTAACTTTGTTCAAATTGTTACCAATTTCGTGAGTATTCCTACAAAACAGTAGCAGCGAAATT